TCTCTCATCTTTTTAAGTGGGAGAACTTGCACAATTGGTGACTGACTAAATACTTATTTTCCCCACTGTATTTACTGACTGACTGACTGACTTACTTACTGGCCCTAATCCTCTTTTGTAAAAAAAAAAAAAAAAAAAAAGAGGCCTCCAGTAGGTTCATCTTCACCATAGACGTCTTTAGTGTCGAACAAAATTTTCATAAATTGTTATAGTGTCACGGGACCTTTAGCATTCAGAAGATTCTTTATTATTTATTAAGGGTCCCCATTAGCCTGGCAAATATTAGTTGTTTACAGTTTTTCTGATTTATTGCATGTAATCTGATTTTGCTCAACCCTAGACATGCATTGATTTAGTAAGTAAGTAAGTAAGTTAAATTTTATTTATAAAGCGCCTTTCACAGAAATGGAATTCACAAGGTGCTGTACAATAGTAATAATATAATTAATAATTATACATTATAATTAGCAACGCTAAATAATAATTTAATGAGTTAAAACCATGTAAGAAACAGCCAGATGTGTTCAAACTGTGTGTGTGTGTTTATAGGGCGTCCTCCATCACGACGGGCGAGTGTGAACTTCCAAGTCAACCCATGCTGGAGTGGATCTGTCTCAAAGTTCTGGGAGCCAGCAAGCTCGTGATCTGCACGATGGCTCGCTGCAGCAAAGCCTTTATGTATCCTATTTTGGACCTGACACTGTTCAGAAAACTGAGATCATTACTTGAATCTGTTACGTTCCTGACTGATTCTCAGACTTTCAAAGCAGCAGCTAAAATGGGAGGAGTTTATCATCCTGAATATAGTGATAACCAGCATGCTTAGTCGTTTGTGGTAAGATATACCTCTCTGTGGTGCAGTGAAGAAAACACCTTCAGTATTTTAACTGGTGCTGACAACCATTAAAGCCCTGTTGCATTCGTGCCTCATCAGGGCGATTTCCCACGGTATCCTGGTCGGACTCGCCCACCTGTACCAGAATCTCCTGGAACTACTTAAGATTGTGGCCGAAGCCCAGCCCATGCCTTACCTCACTGATGTCTCCCTGCCAGCTGATATGGCTGAGTTCCTGGGTCCCTCTGACGCACCGTTACTGAAGGAACGGAGAGCGTTTGGCTCTCGTGTCCAAAAACCCGAGACGAAGCAGCAACTTAAAAAGACAGCCGACGTTAAAGACCTGAACCAGGAAAAACAGGGGAAGACTGAAGACCTGGGAGTTTCTGTTAAAAGAGGTACACTGTCTTCTTTTTCTCCTTGCGATCACTTGTATATGGTTAATTAGTATATGTTAATTATTTTTGTCTCAAACAGTTCTTGTAATTAAATTTTCTAAAATGACAGACACGACTATGTATGGTACTTTGATTACTGATGTTTGTTTGTTTGTTTTTTCAGATCTTGGTTTTACTGCTGTGAAGCCTTTTTTCAGTAAGGTATGTGAAATGAGCACATTAATCATTCTAAATTAAAACGTTAAATCAGGGCTATCCAACTGGCGGCCCGCGGGCCACATCCATCCCGCAAATGACCAAAGTTCGGCCCGCCAATTGGTTCATTCACCGCTTAAGCCCAAAGCCCCTGTTTTCTACTTTAATTGCTCCAAGTTATTTTAGTTAAACATAGACATGTTTGGTATCTACAGAAACGTCAGAATCTTGGCTAGAAGCTGGTAAAAACATTTCTATAAACAAGACAATTAAAACTACAAGCATTTGAAGATAAAATGATGAAAGTGAAAATAAAATTGGTTAAAATTTTGGCAAGTCAGAGATGTCAAAATAATATTTGTGTTAAATAGGAGGCATAATGTGTAATTTTTGTTTTTTATAGTGTTTAATTACCATTACTTTTATAGGGTTCTGTATGTTGTATTCTTGATTAAATGTAGCAAAATAAACTAATTCAAAGGTAACAGATCTTTGTAATACTTGGTTTATTTACATAATAACTAATTACTGGATGTTCGGCCCCTCAGCTGTTGACCGGCAGTAACTGTGGCCCCTGAAATTATTTAGTTGAATTGCCCTGTGTTAAATGCTTCTATTTGCCTAATTATTGTCTCATTTTAATGACCAAGGGTAAATCGGTCTCACAGGATGTGAACAAGACCGATAAGAAACAGAAGCTCAAGAAACAAATAGAAGAAGCTGCTACGTTTTCTAACATGTCTGCCAGCCTGGAGGACATGATTAGGTGGTGCAAATCCCAGAGGATGGAGAAGACCAAACGTCTCCTAACCTTTCTGCATTTAAAGTGCCAGAGGATGAAACGGTTGGAGGCAACAGGACACAAGTAAGACTAGACATGGGTTTTTACGATGTAAAAACAAGTGTGCATTGCCATGTAGCATGTCATTGCAGCATGGCTTTGCCTGCAGCATTGGACTTGCAGAATGAACTTTAACCAAGTTCAAATGTTTTTTTCTATACCAGCTTGTGCCTGTCACGTCAGCAGGTGTTTAGAATTAAGGTAATTGTGTGACAATATGAAGTTTGAAGAGATTTTTTCTTAAAGTTGCATTAGCCGGGTTTTGAACCCTGATTTCCCACATGAAAGTCCATGACATAGACCATTAGACCAATGGAGCTGTGGCAGAATGTGGTGGCAGGGGTTGGTTTGTATGTGTGCAGAAAGAGGCCACATTGCCAATACAATTATTGACACTAAACTGCATATTACAACAATAGAGCAGTATTAAGACAATATTATAGTAAAACATCAAAGTACAATCATATTAGCATTGTAAACACTGAACTATTGAGATTAAATATTAAAAAACTATGGTGCAGTACCAAGTTGAGTACAGCTGGGGGCAGTATTGGACCATTACAAGGCCCCATTGACTCACATTATATGAATTTGGAATAAAGTTTAAACATTAATATTTTAAAAACTACAAGTGGTACAGGCAGCAAAAGGCTAAGCAATCATTTGGTATAGGACCTTTACAAATAGAAATTACATTGGCAGCTGTAGGACAATGTATGCAGGAGCATTGGACTTTTAGAATGAACTTTGACCAAGTTCAAATGTGTTTTCTATACCAGCTTGTGCCTGTCACATCAGCAGGTGTTTGTAATTAAGGTAATTGTGTGACAATATGAAGTTTGAAGACATTTTTGTTAAAGTTGCAGTAACTGGATTTGAACCCAGATCTCCCACATGAAAGCCCACAGTGCTCATCATGAGACTATAGGAGATGTGGCAGAGGACAATCCCAGGGATTGGACTGTATGTATACAGAAAAAGTTCACCTTGCCAATGCAATTATTGACACTTAAGTGCAATATATTACAGCAATAGGACAACATAAAGACATTATTACAGTAAAACATCAAAATACATCATATTAATATTGTAATCACTGAACTACTGAGTTTAAATATTTTAAAACTATTGTGCAGTACCATATTGTGTAGAGGCAGCAGGGGGCAGTATTGGACCAATACAAGGCTCCATTGACTGCCATTATAATTTATTAAACATTAATATTTCGAAAACTATAAGTTTTAAAGGCACCAAAAGGCATAGACATCATTTGGCACAGGGGCTTTACAGATATAAATTACAATGGCAGCTCTAGGACAAAGTATGCAGGAGGAGAAGCATGGCAAAGTTGAGATGACTTGGATGGGAAACAAATCACAGTAGTGTGCATTGCATTGGCAATGCACACTGATTAGGTTTAACTTCCTGTTGCTGTAGCTTGTTACATTCAACTGCTCATACGATCTGTTCTCGTCCTCAGCATGCAGAGGAAGTTGCGGGTCTTCAGACGAGAAGTTTCCTGGGCTTTATCTCCTCAGGGATCGGAGGCAAAGACTTTTCACTTCCACGCCGCGAGGAGGAGACCTGTTGGTCTGAGAAGTCGCCTGCAGTCACTCAAAAGGAGGTTCATGCTGGTTAGAATTCGGGCGGGTGTAAAAACGAGGAGACTGGCTCGGCGACGAAAACAAACCAAGCTGCCGGTGGATTTTAATAATTACCTACAAAGCAAGGCAGCACGGGAAGCAACACTTCACATCTCTGACACTGAAGGCTTTGATTGCATAGATGATATATTTGCTTCGGCTGGCTTATGAAGTTTTGAACATACAGAGTCAAAAACAAATAAAACAAAAAAAAAATAAACAAGAGGTTCTCTGGTTTAATTTCACCCTTTCACCCTAATTTCAGGCTTTTTTATTAAAGTAATTTTCTGACATATACCTGAAACTAGTGATGTTCGATACTGCCAAATTTCTCTTCGATGCTGATACCGAACAGCGATACTGATCCGATACTGATATTTGTGCCAAGTAACATAATGTGCCTGGTAAATTTTAAAAAAGTAGCGTTTTTCAAATAACTGCTTTATAAAGAATACAAGACGGAGTAATTTATTCATTTATAATTCTTTCTAACTCTAACCCTATTATATTTGTTTAGCATAATTTAAAATTCTTATGTGAGACAAATGAAATAGTTTTTGAATAGTGAATAAAAGAAAAAAGTTGTAAAGGTTGATATTTCTTAGCATTGTTTGTAGGTTTGTACGAGGGCACCCAAGCTGAAGCTAATGCTGTTTTAGGGACCAAATCATGGGAAAATTGGGAACCCCTCATCTAGAATGTAATTACAGACAGTCAGACGAAGCTGATTTTATGTTAAAATGATCTGCCATACATGTAACGTCTTCAGACTGACAGCATGTGCCACTGCAATAATGCATCATCCAAGTGGAAGAAAAAGTAGTTCCCTCGATATACATTATTTGAAATGGCTGAAGTATCAAAGTATCGACATTTTGGTTTTAGTATCAATTCTAAACCTTAAAGTTCTGGTAACGGTAGTATCAATATTTTAGTATTGATCCGCACATCACTACCTGAAACATAGGAGAAATCTCTACAATGACAGGTGCAATGTGGATTTCAACTGTTTTATCTCAAATGGATTCAGTGCTTATGTTTGACATGAGACATTTTTATTTCCCTTATTCTGTATTCAACCATGCCTGTCTAAGCAAGTGAAAGAGTTAAAAAAAAAATCAGGTGTTTGAGAATTCTTTTCAGACATGATCGTTCCACAAATAGAGAAAACATGACACAATCATTAACCTTTCAGGGAGTGATGTGTTGTCCATCTCTGACTAATCCAGGTGTTTCCAGCGTATTCCAGAACATCTAAAGTCCTGCTCTCGTTAAGTCAGAGTCCATGATTCAATGATTAAAAGAAAGAAGGCAACAATGTGTGAGAATTAAGGCCAAAATCATGAGCAAAATAAAAGTCACAAAAGACATCTTGATCATCAAGACATTTGGAGAAAATGTGTGGATCGATGACACAGAAGTGAACCATTTTTGGTAGTAATGATATCTTTTGCTGTCTTTGGTTCACTGTTTTTGCCAAAGACCAAACTGAGTAATTAATTGCAGATACAGTGTATTTTTATTCTTAAAAAAATGAATTGGAACATTTTGTTTTTGAGATAAAAGTTTCTTTAGAGCAATCTCAAAGATTAAACATATGGAAGCAACATATTCACTGTTCTCTGTGCCAAGTTAATTTCTGCAATAGTGTTTTTAAAAGCTTTAGCAGCATTTGTTCTGCCTCAGTGGAAGAAGGTATTTTCTACTTCCATCAGCAAAGAGGTMTGTAATAGCATATGACTGTAAATAAATAGTTCCCTGTGGACCTGAAGCTGAGCTCAGTTTTGAAACTGCATTTTTTTTTTTGATGCTCAGTAAATGCAGTAGTTATAGATTTTGAGGATAATGTGTCCTGAAGGAAGAGATAATACAAAATATGTCCTCCTTTTGCGCTGTTCACTATAATTTCCTCACACCTCACTGTAAWGAAAAAAGAAAAACAGAAGATAACATTTCAACACTCATCTTTTAGTTTTTGGTTGGAAATCAGCAAATCTTCCCCACCTCAGGGAGTAAATGAAGCCAAACAAATAAGCCACTGGAGTCAATCATTATTCATTTGGTGTTTAATCTGGAGCTAAGGCATGGGATTGTTCATTTTACTGTGTAGACAAAAGAACCACACTGAAAAAATTGCCTTTTTTTATTATTATTTTTGTCTGAGAACCAAATGAAAATAGTTTTGAACTTAGCTTATTTTTTTTGTCTGAGAACCAAATGAATTGTTTTCTGAAAAAGGTGAACTTAACGTTGAATGAAAGATGAAACATACATATAAACTTAAAATCATTTTACCTGTAAAGATAAGCTATGATAAGAAAAAAATTTATTGACCCCCCACAGTGGGGAAATTTGCACATTACTGCAGCTCGATACAGGAGAGGCAATCATTTGACAACATAATTTGGGATCTAATAAAGAATTAGAGTAGCCTACTTCTTTCCAAAGCTGTAGTAATCTATACAGTTTAAATGACAGTACTATTTATTTATTTTATTTTTTACTTGTAACAATATTCATTGGTACATTTACAGTTTTGTGCTACACTACATCAAACACTTACAAAATTGTGCTGACATTTTTTAGTAGGGTTCTGAGCCTACTTTGGCCATCTCTTTTTTTTTGTTTGTTTGTTTGTTTGTTTTAAATTTGTGCAGTATATACCCCATTGTATTATTAGAAAATCCACAAAAAATAAATAGAAAACATTTAATTCATTTTGAAATGCTTGAATTGTGTTTATATTAATAAATAAATAAAATTAAAAACACGTTTTCAAAATCTGCTGAAAATAAATGAATTAGTTTAAGTTTTAAAAATTAACAGACCCCTAATTACTTATTTTCCTAGTTGAAGACCATTATTATTTTTCCTTTTTTGTATCCTTTTGTCTTTGAAGCATTTTTTATTTATTATTATTATAATTATTGCTGTTGTTGTTGTTGTTGTTGTTGTTCATAAATGTACTCGCATTGGTTTCCAAATGAATTGACATCAAATACTTTTGCCTTCTCAACTCAGCCGCATATGTTTGTTGACATTGTTCAATAAAGCTATGGAAAAAAATAGCTCTAGTGTCGTCACATCCTGTCATCTGCTTTTTCACTTCCGGAAAGGTGGGGCTTTTGTTACGGGAGCGGTTTGTTTTCGGAGAGTCAATGCATTGGTTTGTGCAGCTAAAACACTCAGCGAGATAGCATCAACCAAGGGCAGCAGTTCAGAATCTGCTTTGGTAAGATTTCTAAATCTTACTTTTTCAAACGAAGTAGTTGTAGTGAAGTGTTCATCCCGAAAAAAAGCCTGTAGGAAATAACGTAACCACACCTGTTTAATGGAAGGGCAAGTGAGCCACTTACTTACTCAGCCACCTTCAGAAATGAGTACTAAATACATAGACACAAAAATGTTTAATTTGCTTAAATTGCGAAGCGTAATATTGCTTTTAGCTACCTTTTATCCTCATGCAAATGGATAAAATATAAGGCTAGCGATATTAATTGAGTTTAATACAGAAATTCACGTGAGAATGTGCCCACAGTTCTTCATCAGTCTGTCAAACTGTCCCTATTATTACTTTTGTTGTATCACAGAACCATTGTTGTTTAGCAATACTGGTTCAGCACAGTCTTAAGTCTGTGTTATTAGCTTTCATGCTAATATTATAAAAGCTTATTTATCTTTTGTATTTAACTGAAGTGTTTTGATCACCTATTAACTAGCTGTCACAAGTCCTGAAAAGTTTTCGGTCTCAGAGAAGTGGACACACCCAAGGACTTCATGATTTCTTCTTCTGGTGATTATATTGGATTTCTAAATGCCCAACAGGCTCCCCTAATGTGCCTATATATCCCCCCAAATCATCTTAAAATACAGGATATCTTGGAGAGGCTTTTAAATCGTGAAGTTTTAGTGGTTACAGTATAAAGGTGAACATTTTAAAGGGTGTTGAGGCAGTTGACAGGGATTTGCTTACATATAAACATGGTAGTTTGGAGATGCAGGATTGTGTTTTCAGCTTGTTTGAGTGTACTTGTGTGGGGGCCGAGGACGGTCACTGTTGCCAAAGCAATACATCCTTGTTCCATCTCATTAATAAGTTTATTTTGCTGTAAGCGGAAGTGACAAATTCAATTCAGCTTTCTGATTCATGTGGGTTAATTGGGATGAATGTCAAAACTTAAGTGATCTGCATAACCTTGTTGCTTTAGGTTCTACTTTGGCTTGAATATCCAGCTGCCCCCTCGTAAACAACTCGTGAACACAATGCTGAGCCCAGCACATTCACTGCGTGTTTAGGGAAACCAGCTCAGGAATTGTTTGGCAGTCTTGTAGGGCTTTAAAAAACTGATGCAGATTATGTTTTTTGCACTAGTGATGGCTAATTCAGTTTGAGTTTATCGTCACTGTTTTCCCCTCACTAAGACATCAGATTAACTTATTCTGGTAAATGCCAATTCAGAGAGGACTCTGATTTTAATACCAGTGTCTCAAAATATTTGACAATAATTTAGGCAAGACTTCTGGAAAGACATACTTATGTTATCTGAATGGTTCTGATAAAATGTTTGCAGTCATCTAAAAAGGGTTGTGTTGATGACTAAAGGATGATCAGCTGATGTGTGTAGCATGGCTCCAATGCACAACTAAAGCTGCGATTTTTTTCTCTAGAGAGTACTCTATTGAGATACAATGCATATAGAAAATGCAACAGGTGGGCGTTTTAAGAACCAGTCATCATATCCCCACAAAGAAGAGGAACAAGTTATGCAAATATATATTTGAGGAACATTGTAGTATTTCACCCTTTTTTATTTTTACCGTTCATTCGCAGCACTGTTGTTGTTTTCTATTCTTTTCTACATCCTGGCTGTTTCACTGCCACAAAAGCAGTAATAAAATGAGCATCAGAACTATAAGAAAAACATTTTCATTCATTAAAAAAAAGGAAAAATAAAGCTTTGCTAACCATATTTTTTACTGGCACCAGAATGTTTTCTTACATGTGTTTTCAGTGAACAATGTTTGAATAAGACACCTTTGTATTTTAATTACACTCATGCCTTTGTGTTCAGCAGAGAGATGAGTTTAATGTTCGTATCCAGATCACTCTCACCACTTTCCTCAGCCCCTTTGATTTATCCTTTTTCCTGCTCTCTGTGTTATTCCTTCAGTCAAGGCCATCATTTCACCAACAAACACTGAGTGGGTTGTGTTCAGAAA